AATATTTTGTGCTGTTTATGAAATAATGTCTTATCCTAAGGCCACAAAAATAGTCTTTTCTTGTTTTCCAAAAGCATAATTAGTTTACTTTATAGTTTAAATCAGCAACAATCCATTCAGAATTTATTTGTGTATGATGTGGATAGTTATTAAGGATTTCCTTTTTCCAATATGGGTAGCAAATTCCAATTTACTGTAAAAGTGTACATTTTTCTTTCTGTCCGTTTCTTGTTAGTTCTCATGAATTCACTCAGCTAAGACCACTGCCTTCTTAAGGATCTCCTTCCATGAAATTTACTGAAAGTTGTCTCCATCTTTTCCTGCCTATTGAAATCCTTGGCAATCTCATGGGAGCAGAGAAGTTACTCTTGAAAAATAAGAAATTACTCTTTGTGTCAAAAATCTTCTGTGAGCCATTTTGCTTAGAAGAATGATTGTTACACTGATTTACAGGAGAACATACTGAATGACAGAATAGACTCCAAGGATGTGAAAACAGCAATAACGTTTTTCTAACAGGCAATGGTTGGAATCCTGGGCAATGTTTCTCTTCTTTACCATTATCTCTTCCTTAACACACTGAACATAGGCTGAGATCCGCAGATTTGATTCTCAAGAAGCTGGTTATAGCCAATGTCTTGGTCATTCTCTCTAAAGGAATCCCCTAGAGAATGACAGGTTTGCACTGAAATATTTTCTTAATTATTTTACATGCAAAAGTTTTTCTATTTCAAATTGCCCATTTCTGAATACTTTGTATCAGCTTCAGAATGTAAATACAGAGTGAACTGTATTCTTTTTGAATTAGTGTTTTTGTTTCATTCAAATGCTGTATCCTGTGATAGTTCTACTTTTACTTTCTTAAGGACCCCCTATAGTGTTTTCCATAGTGACTGCACCAATTTACAGTCCATGAACTTTGTGCAGGAGTTTGCTTTTCTCCATACCCTTGCCAATATTTGCTTTGTAGACTTTTTGATGATAGGCATTCTGTCAGGTATGAAGTGATACTGTGTTTTTAATTTGCATTTTTCTGATGATTTGTGATGGTGAGCCTCATTTCATGTGTCTGTTGGCCATCTGTATGTCTTTTGGGAAAATGTCTATTTAGGTTTTCTTTCTTTTTTGAATCGAGTTGGTGTTTTGTTAGTCAGTTATGAAGCATTTTATGTGTTTTGGGTATTAATCCCTCAACAATCATATTATTTGCAAGTAATTTCTTCCCATTCAGTAGATTGTCTTCATTAGTGTAGAGAAAAGCAACAAAGTTTTGTATATTAATCTTCGACCCAGCAACTTTAATGAATTCCTTTGTTCTGATAGTTCTTGCAGGGACTTTAGGGTTTCTACAGACAGACAGGCAGATAGATCGATCATCATGTCATCTGCAAAGAGTGACCATTTTATTTCCTTCCTTCCAATTTGCACGCCTGTCACTTCTCTCTTGTCTGATAACTGTGGCAGGAACTTCCAATACTGTGATAGATAGAAGTGGTAAGAGTGGCATCCCTATCCTGTTCCTGATTTTAGAGGAAAGATTTCAGCTTTTCAACACTGAGTTTGATATTAGCTGTGGATTCATCATAAATGGCATTTTTATGTTGAGATATGTTGCCTATACCCACGCTGATGAGTGTTTTTATCATAAATGGATGCGGAATTGTGTCATATGCTTTTTCTGTATCTGTAGAGAGAATGATGTGATTTTTTCACTCCTTTTGTTAATGTGTATCACAGTGATTGATTTCTGTACATTGAATGAACCTTGCATCCCTGAAAGAAGTTCCACGTGATCATGGTTATGATCCTTTTGATATCTTGTTGAATTTGGCTAGCTAATATTTTGTTAAGGAGTTTAGCATGTATACTCATCAGCCATAGTGGCCTGTAATTCTGTGTGTGTGTGTGTGTGTTTTATGTCTGATTTTGGTATCATGATAAAAGTTCCCTAGAATAAATTTGGGAATGTTTCATCGTCTTTAATTTTTGGAATAATTTGGTAAAGATTAAATACTAGCTCTCCTTTATGTTTTGTAGAATTCCTCTGTGAAACCGTCAGCCCTGCACTTTTGTTTGTGGGGATTTTTAAAATTAAAACCTCAGTTTTGCTGCTGGAGATCTGTCTGTTCACATAATCTGTTTCTTTCTGATTCACGTGAGGAATGTTGTATGTTTCTAGAAATCTATCCATTTCTTCCAGGTTGTAAAATTTATTGCCATATAACTGTTGATAGTATTCTCTTAGGAGGTTTTTTTTTTTGTATCTCTGTGATATGGGATGTGATTTTTCCTCTTTCAGCCTCATTTTTTTTTATATGGGCCTGTTTTTACTCTTGATAAGTCTGCCTAAAGGCTAATGAATTTTGTTTATCTTTTCAGAAAGCCAGTTCTTGTTTTCATTGACCTATTGTATGGGTTTTTTGGTCCCTGCTTTTTACATTTTCCTCTTTCACCTTTACACTTCCTTCTGTGTACTGATTTGACATCATTTGTCCTTGTTTCTCTAATTCCTTCAAATGGTAGGTTAGGTTGCCTGTTGGAGATTTTCTTGCCTCTTGAAGTAAGCCTTTATCACTGTTAATTTCCCTTTTAGAATTGCTTTTGCTGTGTCCCACGGATTTTGTAAAATTGTTTTCTATTTTTAATTGTTTCGAGGCATTTTCTGATTCCTTTTCATCTATTATTTTTAGTAGCATGTTGTTTAGTCTCCTGGTGTGATCATCTTGAATTAAGTAATTGAGCATTGGTTTTGTTGATATTTGCACAAATATTAGAATCTGTCAAGCCATCAGATCTGGGTGCTTTTATTTTTTGAGACACTGTTTTTGAACCTTCTCTTTTTTCTATTTAATTTTTCTGCATCTACTTTTTATCATTAATGGTGGTCAATAAAGTTAGAATGTGTTTTCCTACAAGATCCATAATAATTGGTATAGAAAGATGCAAATGAATCCAACTTAGTTGATTTGATATGTGTAAATAATTTCTGTAATGAGTTCTTTATCATGTTCCTCCTTTCACTTCTATCACTTTGTATATACTTAAGGTATTTTGTCTCATTGCACTTTTCTACCTGTATGTTAATTGATGGATCAGTTTAGTGGTCTGAAGTTTAGGAAAGTACTTGTCTTGGGTAGAGAAATATCTCAGGGAAGTAGAGACTCCAGTGGGATACACATATTTATGCCAGTCCCTTTTGTGTGTGATTCAGCATTTCCTACTCTCCTCCCTTTGACACTGTGTCTGCCTTCATGGATCATGGAAAAGAAAAAGGCTCTTGGAAGCTTTCCAGTTGTCCTCTAAGGGGTGCTAACTAGAAGCTTGTAATTGTTTTTCATAGTTAACAACTGAGAAAAGTTTTCAGAAATGTTCTCAGGTCCCAAGCCTACACTCACATTGCTGCTACAGGTGAAATGATAATTGCAGCTCTAAGGGGAGAGCAGATCAGGACACAGACTCACAAACCCATATATCTAGGTGTGTCTGCCTCCCTCCCACACATACTAATTACAGGGATCATAACCCCGAGCCCACCGTCCTGGCAGCAGGAAGGTGTCAGGTAAGCATGTTGTATATCAGTGTGAGTGGCAGAGCCTTTAAGAGAAAGGCAGATCGAGTCTGGCTAAGTGATCATGTCAGAAAAAGGCCATCTTCTGTGTACTGACCCGGTTCAGTGCCAGCACAATTTGAGAAGGTGGAATAATTCTGAGATATATGCTAAGCTGATAAAGAGAGATGGGGTCCTAGACCTACAGCAGTTCCTAAGGGCTCCTCTGCAGTGTGATGTAATCCTCACTGATAGCCATTGCTGTTCTGAATCCAAGGGGTAAACTTGATTTTTTAAGTGCTTAAAAATATAGTTGTAAAATCAATCAGCTGTTGAGTCTACCTTATAGGAATCACTGACTCATTGTTCAGGATTACTACAGGTGCAGAATTAATACCTCCAGGTTTTTAATAAAGGGTATGATAAATCTGCATAGATCATCTAATCCTGTACAGAAAGTGTGTCCAAATGGTAATGGCTTGAATAGAAAGATTTTCTCTAACTAGGGGTGTGATGCACTTAATGGAGGCTGCGAGAGTGTCTCTGTTGGAAAACTACATAGTGTGTTGATTATGGTGTGGTTACTGTCATTCTTAAATTTAAGGAACATTTGACAAGCTAATTATGAGTATCAGGCAGCAGCTGTTGTTGCGTATCATGTTGCTTCCATTCATGTTGTTTCTGATATGAAGCCAAAAATCTAGTATTTCAGTTGTTAAAAAGCAGAACATATGCCTTGCAAGTGATGATTTGCATGTATGTCTTGTATGATAATATCATTCATGAATCTTCATTCACTGCTAAATTTCCATTTCACTCTATATGGCATTAACATAGAGCTAACTGTATGGTCTGATAATCATTTAGTTTTGCTTTACACTATTTTATCATGTACTGTTGTTTTGTGTCCCAACATTTATGGAATTACATGTGATTACTCAGTGATTTCTGTGATAAGTGGTATTAGTCTTAACGTTTCTCCCATAAAAGGAACGGAGTCTTTCTTTTGCCATCCTGATCTCAAGCCTCTCTCATCTTCATTGCGTTAACTTGTCACGGGGCAGATTCCCATGATAATTTCTTGCCAGCAGTGCATGGACGTGTATTAAGATATCTAAAGCTTTATTCATAATTGATTTTGACATAATAAAATGAAAGTTTAAAAAAGGATTCTTTTTATGATAAAACTTAGAAAATACCACCAGTCTGAAGTCAAATATTAAGGTGTAAATTCAAAAAAAAATAAATATCTGGTTGATCATTTGAATGGCGCTCCCTAGGATTTTGGCAGAGCATGGTGGTTCACTACAGTATCTTTAACAGCAGCAGATTTGGACAAATGTTTAAACTCTGTGTGTACCTTTTCCTCATCTGTACAGTTAAATTCATGGAAGTGACTGCCTGATAGATTTGTGAAGAATGAAGAAGTGATCATATGTGATCCAATGATTAATTTAACATTTGAAGTCCTCTTTAAATGTTATACATGCAACCCTTGAAATACTGCTACTATCAGAAAAACATTCAGTGAATGGTTTCCAGTGGGAACTAATGGTAAGTGGAGAATATTGGATTCAGCTAACACTATATGTGTAGCTTGTGCCTTGTGTTCCCATGCAGGACATTCTAACTGACAAGACAGACACCAGGGACTAGTATCTGAGAGGATGGACAGCAGGAAATTGACTTTAAATGTGATCATCTTAATGCAGACTGTGGTTGAAATCCTGGGGAATTTCTCACTTCTTTGCCTTTATATTCATCCTGTACATCACTGGCTACAGGTTAAGGTCCACAGATTTGATAATTAAGCACCTGATTGTAGCCAACTTCCTTGTCCTTCTCTGTAAAGGCGTCCCCCACACAATGACGGCGTTTGTGTGGAAACATTTCTCCAGTGATGCTGGATGCAAACTATTTCTGTTTCTTCACAGAGTGGGGAGGGGAGTGTCCATTGGTAGCATCTGCCTCTTGAGTGTCTTTCGAGTGATCATGGTCAGTCCCAGAAACTCCAGGTGGGCAGAGCTTAAAGTAAAAGCTCCCAAGTACATTGTTCCCTCTATTCTCCTATGTTGGATTTTGCAAATGTTATTAAATATCATTTTCCTTATCTACGTACATGGTATACGGAGTGACAGAAACATCACAAACAACAAGGATTTTGGATACTGTTCTTCCATTCGTCATGACAAAACCAGAGATGCCCTATTTGCAGCATTGCTTTTGTTCCCTGATGTCTCATGTTTGGGGCTGATGCTCTTGGCCAGTGGCTCCATGATTTTCATCCTGCACAGGCACAAGCAGGAGGTCCAACACATTCATAGGACCAGTGCCTCCCATAGATTCTCTCCTGAGTCCAAAGCTACTAAAACCATTCTTCTTCTGGTGACCACGTTCGTCTACTTCTATACTCTTTCCTCCATCTTTCAAATTGTTTTGTCCCTTTTGGACAATCCCAGCTGGTTCCTTGTGGCCATCGCTACAGTCATGAGTGCATGCTTCCCAGCTGTCAGCCCCTTTGTGCTCATCAGCCGTGACTCCAGTGTACACAGCCTCTACTTTGCCTGGATAAGGAATGTAAATCCCCTTTTTTAATGAGTAATATGTAAATTTCATTTATTTCCATAATGTAGCGTTGTCAAATATTTGATCAATTCATTCATCCTCTGACTCCTAATTAAGCTGTTGGATCTGAAGAAAATCACATACTGGAAATGCTGAGCATCTCCTTGAAATGAACAATTGTAATAGTATTGGCATGAAATGTAAGTATCTTCTAATTAATTGTGTCATTGAAGTTTTTCAAATTCATGTAGAAAAGGAGTTTAGAATTTATGGAATAATAAATACCAGATCTTGAAGTGATCTGCATAATACAAAGTCTTCAAGTGTGTAGCTTTCAATCTAATGAATAAGTTTCCCAGAAATAAAATAGTAATGAACTTACAGATAAAGGTATGCATGAAAATGGATCGGTATGTGCAGTTGTCATTAATACAACTGAAGAAATTAATGTCTGCACAGAATAAAGAATAGCTTGTTGTGCATGTGGAGGTCAAATCAGTCTCATGCAGGATGGCATTTGTGAGCCAGTTATAAGTTTTATACGTAACATCCTTAGAGAGATGGTGGTATTTATTGGAAATATGATGTTTTGCAGGGAGATTAGCACATTTAAATATTTTCATGTAGAAATGGCTACTTTGATGTGAAATGCAGTAAAAAGAGGGAGGAGAGAACAGAAAAACAAAATACTTTAAGGTTTTGTTTTTTTCATGGAAATATATTTGACATATAAAATTGTATGAATTTAAAGTGCATGAGATGGTCATTTTTTTTTAAATGAACATAAATACAAAACAGAAACAGACTCATAGACATAGAATACAAACTTGTGGTTTCCAAGGGGGAGGATGGTGGGAAGGGACAGACGGGGAGTTCAAAATTTGTAGATACTGACAAGCATATGCAGAATAGATAAACAAGATTATATTGTATAGCACAGGGAATATATACAAGATCTTGTGGTAGCTCATAGCGAAAAAAAATTTGACAATGAATATAAGTATGTTCATGTATAACTGAAAAATTGTGCTCTACACTGGAACTTGACACAACATTGTAAAATGACTATAACTCAATAAAAACTGTTAAAAAAAGAAGTCATGGTAAATAAATAAGTAAAGTGCATGACATGGTAATACGTGGTAACTGTATACTGTAATATATTTTTTATTGTACCCATAATTTGCACCTCTATTACATTACATAATTATCCTTTTAAATTAAATTATTTTCTCTTTAATTAATTTATAATATTATATTAGTTGCAGGTATACAGCATAGTGATTAAATACTTATATAGATCATGCTTTGCTTAAATTTATTAGAGAATACTCGCTCTATTCCTTTGATATAAAATATGTCTGTATAACTTATTTATTTTACACACAGTTGTTTGTATCTTGAATCCTTACACTCACTTGCCCCTCTCCTCTTTTATGTCCCCACTAGTTTCTTCTCTGTATCTGTGAGGTTTTTTTTACATTCCACATATATGTGGTAGCATAAAGGACTTGTCTTTGTCTGTCTAACTTCAGTAAGCATCATACTCCCCACGTTTATGTACATTGTCACAAATGCAAATATTCCATCATATATAAATAAATAAACACACCACATCTTCATTAATTCATCTGTTGATGGATACATAGGTTGACTCCATGACCTAGGTGTTATAAATAAAGCTCCTATGAATATTGAGATACACGTATCTTTTTGATTTAGTGTTTTCATTTTCTGTGGCTATATACCCAGGAATGGAAATGCTGCATCATATGGCAGTTCTATTTTTAGTTTTTTGAGTAATTTCAATACTGTTTTACATAGTGGTGACCACAAGTTTGAGTCCCACCATTAACGTACTTGGGTTCCTCTTTCTGCACATCCTCACCAACAGTTGTTATTTGTGGTCGTTTTGATGATAGCCATTCTGACAGGTGTGAGGTAATCTCTCATTGTGATTTTGATTTACACTTCTCTGATGAGTATCGATGTTGAGTATCTTTTCATGTTCCTGTTGGCCATCAGCTTGTCCTCTTTGCAAAAATGTCTGTTCATGATTTCTACCCATTTTTATTGGATTGTTTGTTTTTTAATATTGAGTTGTATAAGCTTATATATATTTTGGATATTAAGTTCTTATGAGTCATATCATTTGAAAATATTGTCTAGGATTTGGTAGATTGCCTTTTTGCTTTATTGATGGTTTCCTTTGCTATGCAAAAGTTTTAAGTTCTATTAGGTCCCATTTATTTGTTTTAGGTTTTGTATCCTTTGCCTCAGGAGACAAATCTAAAAACATATTGCTACAATTTCTGTCAGAGAGTTTTGTCTGTTTTTTATGCAAGGAGTTTTATGGTTTCCATTTTTGCACTTGGGTCTTTAATCCATTTTGAGTTTATTTTTGTATTTGATGTGAGAATTTTCAGAGTACAGATTTTTCACCTCCTTGGTTAAGTTTATTCCTAGGTCTTTTATTCTTTTTAAGGTGATTTTAAACAGGTTTGAGTTCTTGCTTTCCCTTTCTGATAATTCATTATTAGTGCATAGAAAAGCAGTAGATTTCTGTGTATTAATCTTGGATTCTGCAACTTTATTGAACTCATGTATTAGTTTTCTGGTGAGGACTTTAGGGTTTTCTATATATCGTTCCATGTCTCTGCAAATAGTGAAAGTTGTAGTTCTTCCCTTCCAATTTAGTGTTTTTTATCTCTCTTTCTAGTCTAAATGCTGTAGCTACAACACAAATGCTATGTTAAATACAAGTAATGAGAGTGGGCATCCTTGTCCTGTTCCTGATTTTAGAGAAAAATCTTTCAGATTTTCACCATTGAGTATGATGTTAGCTGTGGGTGGGTGGTTATAAGTCCCCTTAATTATGTTGAGATATGTTGCCGTTGTACTCACTTTAATTAGTTTTCATCATGAGTGAATGTTGAACTTTGTCAAATGCTTTATCTGCTTCTATTGAGATGATGATGTGATTTTTATTCCTCCTTTTGTTAATGTGATGTATCATATTGTTTGAGTTGTGAATTTTGGGCCATGTCGCATCTCTGGAAAAATGACCCCTTGTTAATTGTTTTTCAGCCTTTTTCTGTATTGTTGAATTGCTAATATTTTTGACAACTTTCCAACTGTATTCATCAAGCTATCGGTCTGTAATTTTTTTGTTTTCTTTTTCTGGTATTGGTATCAGGGTAATGGTAGCCTCATAGAATGAATTTGGTGGTCTTCAGCTTTTGGATTATTTTGAGAAAAATAGGTATTACCTTTGCTTTATACAGTCCGATAGAATTCCATGAGAAGCTTTCCCATCCTGGACTTTGTTTACTGGGAACTTTTTATTATTTATTTTATTTTACTGCTATGAAATAGTCTGTTCACATTGCCTTTTTTTTCCTGATTCCATCTTAGAATATTGTATGTTTCTAGAAATTTATCCATTTCTCCTAGGCTGTCCAGTTTCTTTGCACATAGCTCTTCATTGGACCCTATTATAATTTTTCTGTATTCATGTAGTATCAGCTGTAATTTCCCCTCTTTCATTTCTTATGTTCTTTATTTGGGTCCCCTTTCTTTTCTTCTTCATGAGCCTCACTACAGCTTATCAACTTTGTTTATCTTTTCAAAAAACCAGATCTTGGTTTCATTTACCAAGTTTATTGGGGTTTTTGGTCTGTACTTTTTAAAATTTCCTCTTTGATCTTTATCATTTCCTTCGATCTGCTGATTTGGGGCCTTGTTCGTTCTTCTTTTTCTAATTCCGTGAGATGGTGAGTTAAGTTTTTTTTTTAGTTTTTTTACTTTTTTAAAGATAGGCCTGTAAACTTGCCTTGTAGAAATGCTCTTGCTGTATCTGCTTGATTTTAGAAAGTTGTGTTTTTATTCTCATTTGCCTCATGATATATCTGATTTTCTCTTTGATTTCTATGCTAACCTTATGTTTTTCAGTATGTTGTATAGTCTCCACATAACTTTTTTCCCTATTTTTCTTTGTGCAGTTGATGCTATATTTCATACCATTGTAGTCAGAAAACATTCTTTATATAATTTCTGTCCACTTAAATTTGCTGAGCCTTGTTTTGTGGCCTAGAAGATGATGTACCTTGGAGAATATTTCATGTGCACTTGAAAAAATACATATTCTGTAGAATATTCTACAGCACTGTGTACAAAAATAAACTCAAGATGGATTGAAGCTGAAATGTAAGACCAGATACTATAAAATTCCTAGAAGAGATGCTGTTTGACATAAGTTACAGCAATATTTTTGGGGATTCATCTCCAAGAGTAATGGAAATAAAAGGCAAAATAAACAGATGGGACCTAAACTTTAAAGCTTTTCACAGCAAAGGAAATCATAAATGAAACAAAAAACACAAGCTACAGATTGGGAGAAAATATTTGCAAGTGATGCCACCAACAAGGGATTTTTTCCCAAAATATACAGACAGCACGTACAGCTTACTATCTCAACAAAACCAACCCAATCAAAAATGGGCAGATGATCTAAATAGACTTTTCTACAAAGAGGTCATACAGATGGCCAACAGGAGTATGAATATATGCTCAATACAACTAATTGCTAGAGAAACGCAAATCAGAAGTATGATGAGATAACACTTCACACCTTTCAGAATGGCTGTCATCAAAAATGTCTAAAATAATACGTGCTGGACAGGGTGTGGAAAAAAGGGAACCTTACTACAGTGTTGGTGGGAATGCAGCTTGGTGCAACTATTAAGGAAAACAGAATGGAGATTCCACAAAAAAACTAGAACTGGACTTACCATAGTATCCAACAGTCTCAGTCCTGTGCATAAATCTGAAGAAAATTAATTTTAAAAAGACACATGCACCCCAGTGTTCATAGCAGTATTATTTACAATAGCAAAGACATGGAGGCAACCTAAATGTCCATCAACAAATGAATGGATAGAGAAGGTACAGTATATAAATACAGTGAAATACTACTCAGCCGTGAAAAAGAAGGAAATACTGCCATTTGCGATAGTATGGATGGACTGAGAGATTATCATGTTGAGTCAAGTAAGTCAGACAAAGAAAGAGAATTACCATATGATATATTCATGATATATATCTGAATCACTTTCCTGTACATCTGAAACTAACACACTGTAAATCAGTTATGTTTCAGTTTTAAAAAGGAAGTGTATTCTGGTGTTTTGGATGTAATGTCCACTAGACTTTTGTTAAGTCCAGCTGGTCTGTTGTGATACTTAAGATCCCTGTTGCCTTATTGATATTCTATCTGGATGATCTGTTCTTTAATGTATGTAGGGTGTTACTGTCCTTGTATGATTCTTGTATTATTGTCAATTTCTCCCTCTATGTGTATTAGTGCTTTCTGTATATATTTAGTTGCTCCTTTATTGGGAGTAGAAAT